CTCATATCATTGTGGGAAAATTCTACTACCAGTCCTTCATCACCTTACATGAAATAGGGTGAATACATCTTATTACACTGATTTAATGGTAGTCTCGAAACCCTACTCACTTACGAATAAAACTGTGTTTGCCTTGTTAGCTTGGCGTTACTTGTGCCAGGTTCCTTTGCGTTGTGTTATTGACCTGTTTCCCAATACCAAAGTTGTCTGGACACAGTTTAGTACGTTCTGAAGTCATCCTGATTGGGTGAATAAGGCGCGTGTTCAAAAAGACTATTTGCATAAGGCGCCATTTGGGCTTCGCCACTGTCATGACCCCGCGCTATGTGAATGGTGGTTTCAGCCGCAAGCAAATGTGATAAGATGATACCAATCATTGCCGCTGTGTGGTATCATCACCAGTACAAATAGCAAAGGTGACTTTTAGCTAGTATATTTGTAGAGATTTCCCCATCAGGTGAACCATGATGACCGATGACGGTTTGTTACACGGTACTAAGCTGAGGCCTCACGATGCCAATTAACATCGTTTTGAGTGGGCAAAGCCAATTAAAAGTTGTTTGATCTTGCTTTCTCAGTTTAGTCATATTGGTAGGAAGACTTAGAGTAACGCACCTAGTCCGGAGTCCATTGTATGCATCATCATTTCCAGAGTCTGACCATGCACGTGGTACCTTCCCAGACGTTTCGTCGGCATCGTCAGTGAGTTTTGCCATTCTTAGCAACACACTACAATTCGTCAAAGAGACAAGTGAAGCCAATCCTTTGCTCAAGTGTATGTCAAACAGTTGTGGTATCTCCTCTTTTATCCTGGACTATTCAACTCTCCGATATCCTCGTATTACGATTGCACTATCACTATTTTATTTTTATTTTTTTCCTTGCTTATTTACATATTGTGTGGTTTGCCCTTTTGAACGGCTGTCATGACAACCCTCCACACTCCACGCTGGTGTTCTCACTCCCCTTCACTCTTGTGCTGGGAATGTTGATCAGAGTTTGCCCTATTTCTACGCAGTCCTCCTTCCCTACGTCTTATTAGAGTCTCACTCTTAAACCGTAGAATCCGTCTGCTATCTCCTTGGTTCAAGTATTTCACTCGACCCATGCCAACCAATTTGTGCTCTACGAGGCGTTAATTCCCACGCTCTGCGTTTGGGAGACTAACTTAGGGTTAAAGATCCCGAGTAATTCTCATGGTCAAGGCATTGTTTCATAAAAATATTGTTAATGAAGGCGTGATACGAGGATATAGGAGAGGTGAATAGCCCAGGACAGAAGCAGAGATACCACGACTGTTTATCACACAATTGATTAAAGTATCGGCCGCAATTGCCTCTGATGATTTATAGTGTGCTGCTAAGAATGACAAGACTCAGTGACGATGCCGACTACGATGCCGGCGAAACGTCTGGGAATGTACCACGCCCACAGTCCTACTCTGGAAATTATCATGCATACATTAGACTCCGGACTATGTGGGATCCTCTAAGTCTTCCTGCCGATATGACCAAGTTGCAAAAACAAGATCGATCAACTTCTATACAACGAACGGAGACTGCGACAAACTAAAGGCCACACCACCTTTATCTTCATAATTTCGATTAAAGCCAAATAAAATTAAATGAAATCGTGACGCCTAGTCATGGCATATGAAAAAAAATTCACTAGTAATCCTCAAATCCCCCTATACACCTAAGTGTAATAGTGTCATATTAAAGAATCGTTGAGACTTTTAGTACCTGTCACAAGCCACATTAACAACTACAAGATTTTTTACTCTTAGCTATACTTGAGAGAGCAGGAGTGTTGACGATCTATTAGCCTTGTCAGGAAGGTCAATATAATATCGAGAAAAAGCTTTGTGGCAATTTTCACTTTATTTCCAAAGAAATATGCCAAAGTAAAGCTTTATATCCCCTTTGTTCGACCGTGGAATATCAAAATAATTCCTACACCATAAAAGATAAGCCAAGCGTTAGTTAAAAGATCATAATACTACTGTCACTGGGGTGTCATACAGATGCAGAGTATTGCGAATAAATTCGTAGCAAATCATCAACTCCACTTCTTTGCGTATGTTGTTCGTTGTATTTCAGCCTGATATTCGTATTAGGCAAGCTTTCGTTTTATCATTAGATCACGAATAATAAATTTTATCACCCTTTATCGCATAAGATGATGTGGAATTTTTCACATTGAATTGTTTAGGC